GGCCCTCCCTGGTGGCTCAGCGGGTTAAAGCACAGCACTAAGAAGCTAAGGCCACTTCAGCATGAGTTCTATCCCTGCTTAGCCCCAGAGGTGACCACATGGCATGGCAGACCTCTCCTCCTCCGCCCGCTGCTCCCCTCAGCAGTGTGTTTCCTTGGTCTGCCTGTTCTGCTCCCCACTGTCTCCGGTGAAGCCTTTCGCCGCCCTGCACCTCTGGCCTGTACCCCAGTTCTATATGCATAAATAAATAAATCTTTTTTAAAAAAAAAGACCATGATGAGAGGGACCCATCAGTCATTGGCTAGCAAGAAATTGGGAACCCCAGCCCTACAACTTCCAGAAACTGAATGCTGCCAATAATCTATCTGCTCCTGGATGCAGACTCTTCCCCCAAAGACTCCAGAGGGAAGTCCAGCCTGCAGTAACATAAACTTCATCTTGTGAGAGTCTAGTTAGTGGACTCAGCTTCCGATCCACAGAATGTCCAGACTTCCGATCCACAGAATGATCAGACAAGCGCATGTTGTTTAAAACCATTAAGTGTGTAGTAATTTGTTACACCCCAGTAGGAAACTGATGCAGAGACCTTTAAAAACAGCATTTGCATAAGAGCGAGTCTAGAGATTAGCTAGAACTTCATTTCTGTGAGCCTATTAGACTGCTTTGCCAGGTCACAGAAAGCAAGGCAGTGACCATTTGCTTAACTTTTCATTGTGAACAGTCTCTCTCTGGTAAGTGTTAGTGATGCCACTTCTGCTACTTTCTAAGTATTCTACAAAATGATGTGAATCAAAAACATAGATGAAGATCAAAGAATGTAAGGCATTGCCCCAGACCTTGGTCTCGCATCTTACCCTCGCATCTTACACCTCCGACCTGCAAGAGAGGTTGGCCACCTGCCAGCAGAGCAGGATGGCCGCCTCCTTCATGCCGGTGCAGCCAATGAACCCCTCCCGCCTGCCGATCACAAGGCCTCCTGCACACTGGCTTAGTTTCCAGCAGCATCAATTCACGGTCAGTTATGTGCTGGAGAAGCCTAACATTCCCTGACCTCCCACTTCTTCACCTGTTGTCCAACTACTTTACCTTTTTAAAATGCAGAAATAATCAAAGGAAACAGTCTTTCAAGCAATTAAATTTCCTAGATTGGATCCACCAGAAGCGACTAATCAAGGTAATGTCACATCAGTTTCTCTACTGCTCCCATCACAGTCTGGCCCAGGTTTGGGGGGAGGAGGGGTTTCCAGGGATCCAAGACCCATCCATTTAGTGATGCCACCATTTTCTAGGGTCTCAAAGACTCAGTGGAGTCAGGCTCTAAGGGCGAAAAGAAATCACAAAGAAGGTAGAAAAGATAGCCCACTCTTAATTACCGTGGCACAGAGTTAAGCACACCACTTCCTTTCACATTCCACTGGCAGAAACAGTCAAGGGGCCTCATGTAATAATTACACATGGCCTGAGGGTGTTTGAGTCAAGACAGAGCCATATACAATGTGGGGTCCCCATAGGCTATACACATAGCCTCGGGTATAGGGGCCACACCACCAAGGGTAATTACACTCTGTGACATTCTCACAATAATGAAATTGCCTAATGGTGCATTTCTCAGACTATATCTCCATCATTAAGCAATGCGTGACTGTATAAAAGAGCTGGAAATGATAGCCTGGCCATATGCCCAAGCAGAAGTAAGCATGAAAATTGGGAGT